AATAGGCGATCTAACGTATCCCAACATGTATAAGTTAGTGGAATAGGATAAGACGTGGAAGGCCATAGTGTCAGGGAGAATTTACTAAGAGATAACAAGCGTAGAATGTAAGTAACATGCTAGTGACTCCCAGACATAGTGCGGTCCAGCCATGAATCGGCCGGAGTCCAGAGGTCTGCAACCGAACAGTGAGTCGTCGGCTCTGGAAGTGACTGAGCGTACACAACTCCCCCGCATCTTGTGATTGAGAGTGACTGGCTAGTGAGGCCAAACAAGTCTCGACCTTGAGTGTAGGCTTTGTCTGTCGTGTCTTCCGTCCGCGTGGTGTTTACGCCAGGCATGGCTAGTGCCCGCGGTGTCCGAGGAAAGCATGAGTAAGAATAAGGGGTCGCTACAAACTCGATTTGTAGAAAATCATGCCTTGTTTAAATTTTATACTTAAGGATGGGGTATCTTTCGGTTTTAAAAGAGTTTCTAAATTGCGGAATAATTTTGAAACCTAGTGAGTGCTATACTGGAATTCAAGGTTTACAAACTGTGCTCAGTGTACATCCCGTTTAAGGAAAAGTACGTTTTTGCCTACAGCTTGAGGAAGATCTCACACAGTTTTCATAAAATATTGTAATCAATATGGAGCATTCTTTATGCAGTAAAGGCAGCATTAACAAATTGACGGATACGATGTTCTATGAATGAATACCTGAAAATTTTAAAAAAAGCTCATTATTAGAAATTTTTAAAACCGAAAGGTTCCCTTTCTTTAAGTATAAAATTTGAAGAAGGCAAATTTGCTACCAAATGCGCGGACTAACTCATGAACCCCAGGGATATTTGCAGGAGACTCCCTGTTAGACAGACGCAGCTAAAGTTGCGTCCACCCCTCCCTCCCCCCGCCCCCCAAAGTCTTACAACCGTAATTATCATTCTTTCAAAAGAGGCCTTTTGCGGTAAACAAAATAGTATTACGTTGTTAAGAAATGACAGCGTTTTTAGAAGAGCTCGAAACTTCCCAAAAAGTTTAAACCGAGCGTACTGCATAAACTTCTGTTTTATCCTTTTACAAGGCCTGGTCCTGCAGAAATAGGAGTAAATGACAAGCAGAATTTCGTTGTAAAATGTCCCCATTCCTACGCTTCCATTCTACGCGTAATGTAACGTATGACTCTTAGCAAACAGCTCTAAATTCCAGTAGGTATTCCAAAATGGTTTCTTCCGTTTATCAATTCGCTTTATTACGCCCATTAGTAGGTGACAATTGTAAGATATTTCGTGAGTTCACGTGCGGAAAGGCTGGTTATTGACTAATAACTGTAAATTTAATTGCTATGTGCCATTGTAGGCGTACCATTTTGTGCACACTAAGAAAGGTTTCTTTCTGGCATATTTTTTGTAACTATTTTAGGGTTTCGATTATGAGAGTGTTCAAGCAGTTCTTAAATACGTAGTTAAAACTTTCCGATTTTCAGTGGTTTCAGTCGATTGTCCATGAATAAGGATTCTGGTCTATGTTGATATCACTAAAATAAATATATCAAAGTGTGACTTTTTTGACTCCCCTTAACATTGGGGCTAAATATTGTGCTAAAAATGAAAGATTTTGCCTTTGTCCATATTAGACAAATTTGCAGTAAAATCCATTAATTGCCGACCCATTTCAAAGACTAAAGAAGCACAACAGCGTGGCAAATACAGTGCGCGCCAAAATTCGTGCAACACG